ACATTGTGGTGTCTGCATGAATTTAAGGATCCCTAACAGAACCTACCCTGTGGGTCTGAGCCTTGACTCGGTGTTCCAGACAAATAGACTGGATCCAGAGCTAACTCCAGTCCTGGGGATGAAAGCTAGGGCTCCAGCGATTTTTTTTTTTTTCTGTAAAGGGCAGACAGAATAAAAGATGGCAGCAAAGGAAATGAACAAGAAAAGAAATCAGAAAAATCAAAAGGAAGGATGGGGTGGCAAGGACTAACTTACATTGAAGAATAAGTAAAGGGTGAGTAACTTAAGAGATGAAAAGTATAAGCTACTCCTGAAGGTCTGGACATTGGTCTCCAGAACAAAACCTATTTCTGTGGCTCACCTGGTGAAGGCAGAAGCCAGACTGCAGACATATAGACATCTACAGAAAGTGACAGGAAGATGAAGAGGGAGGAGAGGCATCAGAGATAGCTTATTCTTTCTAGAACCTGGCTGTGAAGAGAAAGTGGGAAGACCTTAAGAGAGTGTCCATGTGCAGGACATACAGTACCTGTGCTTGCCTGTGAGAGCACAAGGGAGTTCAAGGTGGTAGCTTGAAGGGAAGGGAAGGTTCTTTTGAATGTCAGAAATTTGATCACGTTTATAGCCTGTCAGAATGGATGAATGATGCTCTTACCCTAACACAGAACTTGGTAGTGAGTAGACATCATTCCAGTTACCAGCTTGAGAGAGATCAGAACAGGATCAGAACTTGGAGAACAAAGCCAAAGGCAACTGGAAGGGCAGGGAGTTAACATGAAGAAGGTGTATCAAGCTGTGTGAGGATGACAGGGAAGGAGCGAAGACTGGGTGATGACATCAGCGACAGGAAGGTAGGTTAGGTGGGGGTGATCCAAAAGCAAATTCAAAGAGCATTGTGTCCATTAACTGTGGTTTTATCTGTACCCCGGAAACCTACAGGGCTGGGGAACAGTTCTTAAAGGTGAAACCATCTGACAGAAAGGAGCTACATGCACCTATTTTAGACTGACCTCAGAAAGGAGGGTGGAATTGTTTTCTCTCAGATATGGCTTACACAAAATGAATGTAAGACAGTTATAAGAAACTCTGCGGTAGAAAGGATATGATCAGATGATTTTTTAAAATTTTTTATCTTTTTGGTAAATTGAGGAGAGGTTATTGGAGAAGAGGGAAATTGGATGAGATTCAGGGTTTGAGGAGAATAGAAAAGATTTGGAGCAATCTTTGAAAGGAATCAATTGAAAGGAATCTTTGAAAGGAATCAATCAGAGGGAAATAAATAAAAGGTTTGCCAGATAGTATTGGAAGATCAGCTGTAATTTGATAGTACAAATGTGTGGGACCCAATTGGCATTGTAAGTGGTTTTACCAGGAATTCTCAGACCTTGGGGAATGGAAACATAGACAAAAGACTTTGAGGTTTGATGTGACTGGGCTCTGGTAAAGTCAGTGAACTTTAATTCTAGAGGCAGGGATGAGTTGGGTGGAATTTGCTAGTGCAGATATTATACAATTGAAATGACTAACTTCAAGATAGAGTGGATAAGAAGGCAAACAGTGCTTAAAGGGAGTTATTAAGTAACTAGTGGGCTCAGAAAAGAAAATCAAAGATGACTGAGTGAGCCAGTGGGAGAGTTAAAAGGTCAGAGGATTGTGGACAGAAGGAAGGATTTCAGAGTTGAAGATTTTGAATGTGAAGCTTGTTGGCACTGAGGATGAGACGTGAAGCAAGAGTAGATGTTGGATGGAAAGACTGATTCTCGAGGATGTTGAAGCTCCTGAAGAAATGGAATGCAACCAAAGTAGGTAGAGAAATTGTTGATCCAAAGACAAAAACGTTAAGAGAAATAGAATTCTGTTTTGGGTTACTGATATTTGGGGAGAATGTGATATAACCAAATAGTGCTGCCTTATAAGAGGAGGGCATTGATGGACAATCAGTGGGGACAGATAGTGATCTGGAAGCAGCCTTGACACAGGGAGAAAAATGTTCTGTACATCGGGCTCTATGAGAGACATGTAACATGATGCAAAGCCAGGATTCAATTTATGCTGCAAGTAGTAGGAGCTACTGAGAATGTTGGGTAGTTAACCCCTCCTAAGACACATATGTTAGAGGTCACAGTAAAAGTGGCCGGACACCAGGCTGGTGTAGTGGAAGTTGGGGAAGTTGAGCTGGAGGGTGCTAATTCTGTTGAAGGCTGCCTTTGAGTAAGGAACTAGCATGGCACTTACTGATGGCACTGAGGAGAGGATGATAATGAAAGGCAGAGGCACATGCTAGTAGATGTAGGCTAGGAAACCACAAGTAACAATTTTGTTATCAGTGACAACTCTGTTAAGTGAAGCAGCGCCAGGTTTCTGATTACAACTCTGTTGTATCCAACTGGAGTGTCTGTGTAGAATGTAAGTGTGACCAATTGAAACTCTGGCGAGACCGATTGGAATGGATGGTCATTGGAATTTTAGTGTGACCAATTAGAATATTTTTCTCATAAACTGGAACATTGGTGTGACCAATTATAAACTGGCATTTGCAACAAAAGGATTTTGGTAATAGTGGAAGGAGAGTCGATGCCTAGATTTCAAGAGAGATACATTCTAAGACATTTTCGAATCCCACCAAAATAATGTCTTGAAAGATGGCAAACAGATAAAATGCATGAATAGCATCTTAAGTTACTCAACTGCTTACTAGGGGCTGTGTTTTAAACTGTCATATCCCTAGGCCTTGGCATCTGGGAAATGTTTTTAAAACACATTTTTGAATAAACCATTAAAGTCTCATGGAAGAATACTTTCTCAGCTCTCGGTACTCCAAAGCAAGCACTATTATCTCATGGCCCTTGATTTGTAGGATTGCTCCTATCCCCCTTTGCATTGATGACTGGGAAGTTCACATGCTCATAACAACCCCTCCTGCACTTAGAACTTTATAGTATAGCTTTTATACCAACTATAGAACTCTAGCTACAACTTCTTAACAGTTTTCATTTTTGCGATTTATTTTTTAATTTGAAATGTCTCTTTTTGCAAATTGCCATAAATTTTGGGGACCAAGCATGTCGATGAAAGGAGGGAGAGACAGACCTAGAGAGGTTATTGGGAAAGAAGGAGGTGGGAGTGAATAGGTGGTGGTGTTGGGGAGAATTGCATTTTAAGATATTCAAGACAGAGATTCCATCTTTTTCACTCAGGGAAGAATTGTGCAGGGCCGTTGATGGCCTGCGTAGCCTTTGAAGTAGGCCCTAATAGATAGTATGTGGTCAATAAAATCTTCACAGTCAGCCTGAATGACTATTTTCTGGACTCAGTGAATATTTATTGACTGCCTTTTTTTCAGCATGTATTTTTTATTTCCCTTAAAATTCTTGGATGGTTTCCTGTGTTTAGAAACAAATGCAATACATGAGTCGGAAATGAATTTTGGAGTCAAACAGACCTTGGTTTGAAAATTAACTCTGCTATTGATTGTGTGGATCCTTGGCCAAGACAGACTAAATTGGGATAATATTTGCTGCCAAATCACTGGGAGGCTTTGTTGGGAAGATGTATGTAAAGTACCCATCTGTGTCTGGCATAGAGGAAGCACTGGGTGAATCTGTCCCCCCCCACCTCTCTTACATTGGACACATGTGTCCAGCTGACAGCTCATGACCAGACAGCCTGCAGTTCTGGATGGCAGTGCTGCTGCCTCTGCCCTGCGCATCACCTTCAACCCTGGCTGGCCCAGGAAGAGCTGGTCTGTCCAGTGCTCAGTGAGCTATTTTTGCTGAATTGCTTATCTCCCAGATGCTTATCCCATCCGATTGGAAGATATACAGTCAGTAGCCTGGATTTCTGAAGTACTAAGGGCTTTTGGTCTAGGGAGTTGTATATTCCAAGTTAAAATCTCTGTTCTGTATGGTTTGGTTATAATCTAAGGACAGTTTAGAATATGTGAAATCAGAGCTTTTGGGTCAGAATGTTGAGATCACTATTATCTGAACTAGGGTTGGGATGCCCAAGACAATACAAAATGTTAGATCATGGTGAGGTATTGTTTTTTCCATATAATCATTTGGGTTATTGCTGTCCTTGTCATCATATTAATTTCTTCTTGCTGGCACCTATGTACCCAGTGTCTTATCATACGCCAGGATTTTGGTCCTCATGGGACATTGTTTTGGAGAAACATGTTGCCCTTGGTCTTTCAGAAATGCTCCAGGTTTTTTAGATCCTTCATAATTCCTGGTACTTCTCAGCATGTGTTTTGCCTGTCACCTTTATGTTTTTGCCTTATTTCTGCTTATTGAGTGTAGGTGTTAATGGCCGGTTGTCTACTACTGTTTCACTGGTAGTAGAACTAGTAAAAACCTCCCCTGGCCTGTCCTCGCAATAAGGAACAGTCTCCTTACTTATATCTCATAGTGGCCAAAATGTAATTTTGTGCAGTCCAGGAAAGATCTATCTCACGTAATAAAATTCTAATGTAATCATCAATAAATACTCATTGAACATTTAGCTCTCTTCTGGGTTCTTTATAGTGAGATATTACAAGGAGATAGATGTGTGGAGACTGGGATGATTATTGAGCTTAGGAGGTGATATACAATCTCTGGTTTTAAAAAGTGTATTGCTGAAATAATTTTTTCTCAGTTGTTTTAACAAAGAGGACCCACTTGCTTTGCCTTAAAAATAAAAAAAAGAAAAATTTAGTTTTGTGAGAGTGTTCATTTTTCTCTATGTGGAAATAGTAAATGATGGTATCTATAGGCAAACAGTTTTTGAGAACTGTAGCTCATCTCATCTTTCAGAGTGTAATGGGTGGGAGGGGCTGTGCTTCCCTGAATGACCCAGTATCTGCCTATCCCTGCTAGGCCTATGGCTCACAGGCAGCCTCCTCAAATCTGTGTTGTCTAACACACAACTCAGAGATTGCCTTATGTGCTATGGATAAAGCTACAGTTATCCTTATTGCCATGGAGGCTTATGATTTTGAGATCTGGTTTTGCTTTCAGGAGCTGCTAAGTCGTACATCTCTTGAGACTCAGAAGCTCGATCTAATGACTGAAGTGTCTGAACTGAAACTCAAACTGGTTGGCATGGAAAAGGAGCAGAAAGAGCAGGAGGAGAAGCAGAGAAAAGCAGAGGTGAGTGTGAAACACAAGATTCCAGGGGGACCCATATTGCCCTAAATTCAGACCAGGGGAAACTATCTTAATGTGAATTGAGGCCATCTGGTTAACCCCAAGCCTTGGCAGCCTCTGGGTGCAAGAAACATCTGTACACTGGAGACACAGTGATCTCTTAATACCAAGTTATCAGATTTTGCTGTGGCTGCAGACTTCAGCAATGCCCAAACCACCAGTATTGGCTCTAAAGCTTTATCCTTCCTCAGGCTGCTGACAAGGATGGAAAGGGAAGTAGTAGTGGGGGAAGGGTCAGACAGAATGTGGAGGGACACAAGATGTCTTCTGTGAAAGCCAATGTGATGACCATGTACTGGAATGAAATCAGTTGCCTTGTAGGCCATCACTATATCCAAAGAGTCTGGGAGACATTATCTGACCCGGGTGGAACCCTTAGATTATGTGTTTCTTTTCTCCAGAGGGGTCATATGGGTGAACTCATGCACTGGCTTTCTCCTGGTGAATGTTTTCCTGTTTGTTTCCCCCCATTCTCTATGTGCTATTGGCTACAGCGTGCTAGACTTCCTTTTTTTTTTTTTGCATAAATGTCTAGAGAACTTTAGGCTCTGAACTCTTTTTTTTTTCAGAGAGAACAGACTGACTTAACATGAGATAACCATATCCCATGTGCCTCTACCTACAAGGTCCTGTAGTCACTCAGAACAGTGTGTGATATGGAAAAACATAGGCTCAGGTCTAGAAACACTTTGGCTCAGTTACTGATTTAACTGCTAAGTAGTTTCATGAACTTCAGCAAGTTAGCTACTTAATCTCTCTGAACCTCAATGTCTTTATTTGTACAATGAGTAACCGTGTGGTGAAGTCTAAAGTCACGGAAGTTAAGTCTCCATCATAGTAACTGGCATTTTGTAGGTACTGGGTTTTTGTCTTCTTGCCCTTCCTTCATTTAGACATCTTCCAAATCTAAAACTGGCTGCTGTTACTGTCTGTTAAGTTCCAGTGTCATTGTGTGTTGAAGCCTGTCTGATTTCTGTGTTTGCTGGGTTAACACTAGTGATCTGTGCTGAGCATGTTCCTTGAATAGTTTTTTGAGAACATTCCCATTATTAAAAATTATCCTTGTCAAAAGAAGTTATCTCCATGAGGCTGAGAACAGTATCTTCTCATGATTAAGAGTACAAACACATGAATCACATCTCCTGACTATAACCCAAGCTCAGCTACTTGCCAGCTTTATGCTTTTGGGCAAGTAGTTTTACCTCTGCTGCTCTGTTTCTTCTTCAGTTGAGTTGAGATAGTGATAGTTTCTACCTCTTGGGTTCTGAGGTGGCAATAAGGCAATGTCCATCTTGCATAGTGCTAGACACCTAGTAATAGCTAGGAGTTATCAACCACTTATTTTGATGTTGAGCACAATGCAAATGGAAATGTCCTTGGATACATACTGAGTGGTCACCAGGCTGTAATCTTTTCTGTGTGAAGCATTAATTGAATGGAGTCTGTTCAGAGAAAAGATATTGAATTTTCTTCTGGTTTACAATTATTTTAGCAATCTTTCAAGACATGTAATTCTACGAATATGTACATTAGGGTTGGGGGCAGAATTCAGGAAGCTGTGAGAAGGCTTGAAATGACAGAGACTCAACTCAAAACCACCTGAATCAAAACAAAGTTTAGGTGGGGAGGGTTATTAAATCATAACTTGATGAGTAGGCAGCTAAAAGAATTTAGTATCACTAGATACACACAATGTCATTAGAACTCAGCCTCAGTGTATCACTGCTCTGTTTTAGCCTTGTTCTCAGAAAAGCCATAGAGAATGGCTGTCAGCAGCTTTAGTTTCGACCAGAAGGATCTGGCCACCCCTGCAGAGGGAGAGGGAGAGAGAGAGATTGATTCTCTTTCTCAAAAGTTTCCAGGTTTCACCAGAAACCCCAGAACTATCTCATTGGGACAGTTTGAGTCATAAGCCTGATTCCAAACCAGTCCCAGTAGGGAGCAAATTCTATGCAGGGGTGTGAGTGTGTGGGTGGGTCCTTCTGTGGGAGAATGCAGTGCTTCTACCTGGCTGAGGCATTCAGTGCCTTGCTAGGAAAGACAGGGAGGAAGGAGAGCCCCCACTCTGGGCCAAGCGTAACTAAGGCAGCCCTTTTACTGTTCATTTTCTTCCTCCCTCCCTCCTTGCTCCCTTTCTACTTCCTCCCTCCCTCCCTTCTCTCTCTCTCTTTCTTTCTTTTCTGAAGGATTGTTTTTCCATCTGAGCTTTTCAATTTTGTTTTCCATTAGGCTATCCCTGCATGAGGCAGCAGAGACCCTGAGCTTCTGGCCTCAGTCCTACCAGATAACAGCCCTTTGCAGGTGCTAATGCAAACATTCGGTTTCCACATGGAGGAATCTTTCAGGCTGTTCAATCCTGTGATAATCATTGAGTAGCCACATGATCTGAAACAAATTTTCCTTCTTGTCATTGAACATAATCTTTGCTAGGACACCTGACACCTCCCCCACTATTTGTATGTGTCTGGGATGTCATGGGGAGCACTGCTCAGGCTGCCCTGTGGTTGCGCGCTCAGAGATGCTTGTTTTGAGTGAGACATTTAGTTAGCTGAGGTCAGGGTAGCTGAGCAGAGGGAATGCCACCTCCTGTCCCACACCACCGTGCTGGCTCCAGTGAATGTACTTAGCCTCAGGCCTGATTGCCTGTGGTTTGGAAAAGGCAGAACTGGGTTTAGGATTTTTTTTTTTTTTATCTTTTTGAGGTAGCCAGATCTGGAATAAACTTCCATGTAACTCAGCCTTTCTTCTCACATATCATTTTATGTTTCATTGAAAAGAAGATGCTGTTAACAAGAACACCATAGACTGCTTTTCTGTGTGGCTCTTATCTCACCCCTAAGCTACTCTCTTGTTGCCTGTAGTGAGTTAATCGTGGACTTGATTACAGATGGTTTTCTGTACAGCCTGAGATGTTGAAGTGCAGGTTTCTTGTCAAGTGGAGATGGTCCCAACAGCCAAACAGGAAGCCAGAATCTTTCTGACCCAGGAGTCAGTCAGTAGAGCAGCTCAAGGGAGATGTGGGGAAAGACCTGGCTTCCTGTTGATTTTACCATTTCCCATGAGCTTTTTGCACTAGCTCTGGAAATATCAAGAAACCCAAAATTGGATCAACTAGATTTACTCCTGAAAAGCAGGACTTGCAGAAAAGCGATTGACAAGAGTAAGTGTCAGAATTGGGAGACGAACATGAAGGAAAATCCATAGACAAAGAGAAACCTCTGGGCAGAACCCAGATCAAAGGCACGAATGGTAGAGGGGAATCTTCCCTAGAGAAAGGGAAGCTGGGCTCCTTAAGTTCTGGGGATGCAGGGAGGCCTGCAGCTGGATCCAAATCTTCCTGGGTACAGTACTAAAAAAAAGCCTGTAAAGAGGGGGAACAGGGACCCCAAATGTGCTGGGAAGCAAATCAGCCCAGTTGATAAGGGATACAATGAGCATAAAGAAAACCAAAAGGGGGCCTCCCTGGTGGCGCAGCGGTTGAGCGCTGGGTTGCTAAGCTGCTTGCAGCCTCTGTGGCACCAGTTCGATCCCCGGCTGCTCCCCGGCTGTTCCCTGTCTGCTGCCCAGCCACCGCAGGAGGGTCCCACATGGCGCGCAGACCTCTCCTGCCGCCCGCTGCTCCCCTCAGCAGTGTACCTCAGTCCTTCTGCCTGCTCTGCTCCCTGCTCTGCCTCTGGTGAATTCTCTCACCCTCCCACGCTTCTGACTGTACCCAGTGCTTGTATAAATAAATAAAAATAAATTAAAAAAAATAACCAAAAGGAATCTCCAGGGTTTCCAGATAGAAAATTGCATGTCTTACAGCACAGGGGGTGGTGTCAGCTCTTCTTTCTTCTTTGGTTGGGACCTTGAAAGAAGCAATCTGATTTCTGATCTGGAGTAATTTGATGGTGGCCTTGGAGAGCAATCAAGGGCTGGGAAGCTTGTGTTTGCCCAGAGGAGAGCTGTCCTGGAGAGTTTTGTTATTGTTGTTTTTATTTCATTTCATCTTGTTTACTTATATTTATTAGCATAGGGAATATTTTTCAACAATTCAAAATGTAAGAATTGAAAAAGGAATATATAGCAAAAAAAGCCTCCTTCTATACCCGTCCTCCAATCAACAGTCAGGAAGCAATGTTATCAGTTCGTTTTGTATCCTTCCAGAGTTACCTTATGCCCGAACAAGCAAATTTATGTGCTTACACACACACAGACTCCTCATTTTTGATCAAATGCACACTATTCTAGATGACCTTTTTGCTAGCAGTCTTGGATTTCATTTCATACCAAGTATGTTAAAAAGCTTCTGATTCAAATTTATGTCTGTGTATTTTTCCACTATCTGACTATGCCCTGATTTATTTAGCCACTCCTCTTTTAATGGGCATTTAAGTTGTTTTTAAGTGTTTCCTATTACAATCATCTTGTTTGTGAATCATCTTGTTCATATGTGAGGATCCTGAAGTGGAGTTTGTGGGTCAAAGGGTACATGCACTTGAAATTTTGACAGATACTTCTAGCTTGTCCTCTAGAGTCTAAGGTTACACTCTCACTGGCATGTGCGCGAGTCCAGGACTGTATTAAACTGAGCATGAAGGGAAAGGGAGAGAAAGAACTGAGACCGTGAAGAAGTTTAATAGGCAGGAAAAGACCATGATTATGGGGGGAGGTAGCCAGTGGTTTCTCATAGAAAAGAACCATAAAAACAAACAAACAAGTTGGATGGTTGATGGAGCAGGAGTAATAAACAAAGGCAGATGAGATTACAACACAGACTGGCAACTGGGGCATCCTAAATGTCCCCTGGACTCATGATGTGGGACCCAAAAATAGAACACAGCAAAAGGACTGAGCTCTGAGAGAGAGGCAGACCTGCTTGGAGAGGAAATGGGTGACCTTAGCAGTAAAGAATAAGGCAGGAGAAAGCCAAGCCTGACTACATGTGGGCAGGGGAAGTAAGG